TCCACAGCCTGATCCCACCAAGGACAGACTCAGGACTGGGACACCAGCTCCACTGAGCTTCGTTATTTCATTACCCAGGAACATGCAGAAATGTGACCCCACAAGCTTAAGACCTCCTTTTGAGCTACAGATATCCAGTTTTTCTAAATGCCAGCAGAGCTTAGCAGGGACACGCAGTTTGATCGTCCAGGCTGTCGTCCCCCTAAGAATCTCCTCGCTTTTGTCAACCAAAGCTCCCTGCCAAGGCCCCTCGTGGAAGAGCAGCTGACGCCCCAGTGCTGGAGTCCAAAATGCATGGGGTTGAGAGGAATATTTGGCTGAACGGGTTCGTTCTCTGGCACCTGCCCAAAATAACAGCAAGAAGGGTCATTTTGTTGGCTACGAAGCTGCTGTAGACACAGGAAGGAAAACAAAAACATTTCTAGAGAGTTTTTGGAGATTTTATTTTATCCATTAATAACTAAATTTAGATCTGCAGTAGCCTTGTAATACGTTAATGCCTTGTAAGAAAACATCCCCACCCTAAGGAACTTCCTGTTGAAATACTCAAGAGCAAAGTTACAGGGAAGGAAGAATTCCCATCCCCTGGGACGTACAGGAATATCATTTACCACAGCAGAAACGTGCCAAAGCCTGGCACCAGCACGGCGACCAGGAAATGATCTTGGGCTAAGGAGCAGCCTCATCCCGACTCAAGAACCGGGACACATCTCTCCATCCACAGGTAGTGGCATTAATTAACTGATTACAGAACTGCAAAGCATCCTGTAAAGGTGTACAGGAACACTTTAACTCCACAAGGCAAGATTTTATGCCCTTTCATTTTTGTGGCAGGAGAACAAACTATTCTGACGAGTACAAAATCCGAGTGACAGCACAGTCTAGCCAGCCAAATTTTTTAAGCTGTAAAAATCTGAAGGAAAGTGACTTCAGCAGTTGCTATGTTAAGGACCAAAATATTATCATCTCCATACTGTGCATATCCACTGGTCAAATCAGCATCAAACAGCTCCATCGGTCAGTACACAGCCCATTTTGATGCCTTGCCCAGGACTCACGCTAACTTTAATGGACTTCACATGGCCAGGTTGTCACAGGGCTGGTTTGTCACCCAGCAGCAACTCCAGCCACAGCAACTACATGGCCATGACAAGATATCACTTCCATCATTAGTGATCACACAATACTGGGATCCATTTATAATGGTTTACAAATGCCCGGGTCACCCTGCAGCCTGATACCCTGAGGGTTTTCCCGAGGAAAACAACTGCCTCAGAACTTATCCTGGCTGTGGCTCTGCAGTCAAACCAATAAATGGAGAGATAAGGACTGCTCAAGACTCAAACTTGTGCCAGAATGGCCTCTGACCAGCACCAGAATGAGCACTGACACCATCTTCCAAGGGAACAGCACGTCTTCAGCCTGTAGTCTTCTATTAAAGTAAAGGCAAGGCGAAGAAAATTATTTACCCAAGGACAGCAGCAGGAAGGAGTCCTGCGCCTAGCAAAAATACAGACTCTTGCTTCAGAAACACGTGGATTTGTGGCATTTTGCATTTGCCATCTAGACACAAAGTACTCAGACTGTTTTGTTCTCATTTAGAGAGATTTTAGGGGGTTTTATGTCAGAAGTGCTCAAGAGATGGTGAGCCTCTTCCCATGGCAGCAGCCTACGTATCCTCTTAGCTCTAATCTCCTTGTACAGCTAACCAAAACTCCCTTTTACCTGAAGTGCTGAGGAGGTGCAGATCCCAGGAACAGGAGGTTGTGGGGTCCTGTGCCTTTTCCCAAGCAGAATCTGCTGAGCCACGGATGAGCGTTACAGCCACTCATGGGAAGGGACGGTCCAGCCACCGAACCAGTTCATCCCAGTTCACCAGTGTCCCAATCTGCATGCTAAGGCACTAAGGAGAAGCGGCAAAGTGGAAGTATTTTGGATTTCGGCACTGACACCACAGTGTTTCAGTCTCCCTCCACACAGCCAGCAGTTCACTGAATGTCTTCCAAGAACAAACTGAATGGCAGCTGGCACCAAACCCTTGCAAAGCTGGCAACCCAGCTCAAAACGCAAACCATTTCCTCTCCTCCCCCCCGCCAGCTTTTCCATTACGGCCAGACTCTGCTAATGAAGATGCAGATTTTGTTTGCCTGCAGCAACGCAGGTACTGCTGATGCAGCCTCCATAGGTGCCCATTCCTCAGCAGCACTATCAAAACACCGTGTGTTGGTGCGATGCTGGCACTGTCCCCGTCCTAGGGCAGCACTTCCTGCAGATCTCATTCTTAACTCGCACACCGGGATGTTCTCGGTGGTTGCACGCTCTTTGTTCCTGAAAACACCGAGCTGGCTGCAGAAAACATGAGAGGAAGATAAGGTACGAGTTACATTCACTGCTGCTACGCTTTATTCCTGGTCACTGCCATCCCTGGCTCCATTTCCATCAGCGGCAGCCTGGCCTCAGGGGAAGGCAGAGGGAGAGACCAAGATGCGCTGCCAAGACTTAACCATTGGCTCAGGTCTGCCTGTGCTTTCAGATGCCATTTGGATCTCCTCGCAAGCAAACCCTCATCAAAAAGATACTGTTTGCAATATGTGCTCTTTCGCTCTCCTTTTCTAGTGTTTCAGTGCAGCATCGTGTTTGCTTTAGGGCTTGCAAGGACCTCCGTGGGAAATATTCCAACACAGACTTCAGCAGTCGGTAATCTCCGCAGGGTACAAACAGGACCTGCTTGATGTGCTGGCTCACCAGGAGGATTGTTAATAAGAAAAATAGCACCAATTTTTTTTAGGCCACTTCTAAAAATACTTCTGGGAATGCTCCATCTTCCACAACAACAGCAACAAAAAAAACCCATAACCCGCTTAAGACGCATTCCCACAGGAATCTATTAATTCTGTGTATGGGAAGGCAGCTTTCTTAATGCACCAGTTCAGCTCTGTTTTGGCATCCATCAGAGACAGAGTTATTCCTTCCCTTTGCTATCACAGAACCAGCCTGGAGAAGGCATCCAGAACAGCACTGCAGTGAATCACTGGGACGCACGGGTGTATTTAAAAGCAACAGAGCTGAATTTGACCCCCTTGAGAGCAACAACGTCCTGGCACTTCTGCCAAGATGTTCTGCCACATCTCCCATCCCACCCATTTCTCTCTGGAACAGTTAGATACGGCTTTTCCGTGTCTGAGCAGAGATTCAAGCCACACACATCAATTTGGGACTCTCAGATTTTGGCATTACAGAAGACACCAGGCACCCCGTACTTGTGGAGCACAGGGAAACATTTTTACAACAGCTAATTGCCATTTTAATGCATGTAATTGCCTTCGAAAATGCTAGTCATCAAAGACACATGCAGATTAGTGTGTCATGAAATCACAGTGAATCTCAAGCTTAAGTAGCAGTAGTAGTGGTAAGAGAACATCCTTAACAGCCCAGATCCTAAATCTGCCAGCACAGAACAGAGAAAGTGAGAAAAACAATCCTGGCCCTCAAATGGCACAGAAACTCTCTAAACAACCCCTTTTACTTCTTTTCCTTCCACTTCCGAGCTGTATCTGATCATCAGATCAGAGGGTAAGCGACATGCTGTGTTTTGAGGAACATAAGCATCTGACTTACTGACAAACGCAGAGATCAAACCCAAAGGACAGGATTTCTCCCCCAGCTCCATGTTAACTAAATTGGCCTGCTGCAGTTTCAATGAATGCCCAATGCCAAGCTTTCTGCACAAGCAAAACATTACCCACCCCAAACTCAAGCTCGAACCTCTCATCCATTTCTGTTTCAGCCGTTTCAAGCAGACCAAGCCCCTCAGCTTCACAAAAGCACAGAGATCCATAGCTTATCCCAGCCACTAATAACACTGCAGCCTAAGCAGTCTCTCCCCTAAATCACCATGGACACACTTAACTGATGCAGAGGCCCAAAACAGAGCAGCAGAAGTCCCCCAAATAAGTCTGTCTACCACAGAGCCCCCAAATAAGCCTGTCCACAGGCAGATCATCCCCCTCAACCCTTACTCTGCCTTCCCAGGTGGGACCACTCCTTCTAGAGGTTTGTTTTTTTTGAGCTAAATACTCTCAGCTGCACCCAATTCCCTCCCAGACAGCCTGGGCTGCCTGCCTGGCTCCTGCACACCCTCCTTTCTGAATTAGCTTACAAAGACACATTTCAGCAGTTTGAGTACGCAGGGGATATGGGGGAAGCTGGTCCCCAGCTGTGGGGTGTTGCTGTACAATGAACCATGTATCTGGATGGTGAGGACTTTGAAACAGGCTTGCCCCGGCCTGGTTTTGTGCTAAGTGATGTTTCCTGGTCAGCTCACAGGGCTCCTGGGCAGTGTTAGGAACACATAAATCCCAGGAAGCCATCCACAAGCCATAAGATACCAATGAAAATGGGGCCTCCTTTCTCCCAGGAAACTGCTGCCATATTTCATGTGAACATAAACCCTTTGCCGCTGCTGCACAATGCTTCTTCATTTGCCAGATGCTTGAATAGGATCATTTATATAGACTAACTCATATAGATAGTGCCTGCCTGCTCCTCCCTGCCCATCAAAGAGGGCTTTGCCACAGGAGGGGTTTTGCACCTTCAGTTTGTGAACCCACGTCCGTGAGGAGGAGAGACAGAGCCAGGAGTCTTGGGAACAGCCTCACAAACAAGACACGAGGCCTGGAGTCACGTTTTTCACCCTGGCGTTCGCCCATGGCATGGGAGGCTTTGGCCATAACACGTGCGGGCTCCGACAGGCGCAGCCCCGAAGGTCAGGCACGACAGCTTATGCCTCATCTCCTGACAGAGACTGGAGCTCAGGGCACATCTGCTGGCATGCAAAGGTCATGTCAAGCTTCAAGGTTTTAATGCTTTTTTGGAAAAATAACACAGCACAGGTTCTTTTTTTCCCCTCTGCCTTCTAATTCCTGCGCCCTGACATCCCCTGGCAAACAGTACTTCCCAAGTTTCCTCCCCAAATGGCTAGAAACACACAGGGTTTGAATCAAAGCTGAGTTCCTCACAAGCCAAATCACTAAGAAATAAAATGAGGGACCCTTCTAAGAGTAACAAGAAAAACCCGAGAGCTGGCACCACTGAAATTGTTATGGTTATCTCTGTGAAAGCTAATGCTGCCACTTCTGTTTGTTTTCACGGTTTTACACCTGGCTTGGGTTTTGGTTCCCCCCTCTTTTTCTGGCTATTCAGGGATCCACTGAAGACGAGCAGCACATGACTAAAGGCACCTCCTTAATCGAAAGCCAACACCACCACCTGCTGCACTGCCTGGAAAAAACAACCGTAAGTAGCAACACCATCCTTGCGCATCTTACTCGGTCCTTGTGCCTGGCTCTGTGCGGAGAGGATGTGCACGCAGATGACAGACAGACAGACAGACTCAAGACAGACACTCATCCCAAGAACATTCTGCAATGGGATAAATGCACTTCATTTCACTGTTGTCTTAAAACTAAATTATTGCTGTGCAAAGGGATAAAGATGGGATTATCTGCACCTCCACAGTCACCTACACCAGCACAAAGTCAATAGCAGGTTGCTCAGTCAAGTTCACTTGAATACAAACAGCCTTTAGGCATGGGGTTAAGGAGATCCTATAAACGTTAAGTTTAGTTTCTTCAGTGTTTCTGAAAGAGAACTGAGCTGCATTTGTCCTGTGCTGTCAGTCACACATCACATATACTCGTTGCTTGTGCTAATTACTAACGAAGGACAGTTCTGCTGCCGTAAAAGGAGGACGCTGCTGTCAGCGACTCCAAACCACAGCCTGGTCACCAGTGCCAGCAGGCTCAAAAAATAACCTTTAGTCCTGTATATGGCACAAGGCAGATGAACTCTTAATGGGCTTAAAGGCTGCACATATTCTCTTGTTATGAGAGCAGGGAATTTGTCTCAAAGCCAGTCAAGCGGTTCCTATTACTTGACTTTTCTGTCTGTGTTATGCAAGGTGCTGGAGTGAGAATTTTATTTTTCATTAAGTGATTCTGTATGCAGCAGTCTCTTGGAACATTTCAGATATTTATTTGATACATATGTTTTGCTTCCAGGTATATATAAAAGGTTCTGCAGTAAAGGAACACATTATCTATACCATGATTCATTCTAGAAAGAATGAAGAGAGGTTAACACTTGAAATATTCATGCCTTTTTCTATCTGCATCCATCATCAAATGTACTTTTGATTTCTGACTTGCAAGAGCTTTCTTTTAGATAAATCACCCTCACTTCCATAGTTTGGCTTATGCTGGAATAACAGCACTTAGGCTTCAGCCATATACTGGAAGATGACGACTTTAATGGCAGTGACCCGCCGGGTGCAGCCGGTTTGTCACAACAAGCCAAAAGGTCACCACGCCAAGGACACTGAACAATTCTTCCTGTATCAATGACTATTGACTTATCTCATGAGACTCATTTTGCCTTTATTTCTAGCAATTTTGGATGTTACGTAACGAGCAGAGATTTCACGATCTGATTCTTCAGTTCAGAACTTTGTGCTTAAAACCCTCGCTATCGTGACCCAAATTTCTCAAGAATATTTTCACTGGGAAACGTTAACAAATTGGCTGAAGCAAACAAAAGCTGACAACCCAAGCTCCAGGCTCTGCCCTTGCCAGGCCCCAGTTTACAGCAACCGTGACCTCTGCAGAGGGCAGGTGACAGCCCTGGGAGCTGCAGGGCTGCCCAGCACTAATGAGCGGTTGGGGCACTGGAAGGAACGCAGCCACAGCACATCCTGGTTTGTGGATGTATTTGCCTCCACTAACGAGGCCGGATGGCCTCCAGCACGCACGCCTGCTCAGACAGGGAGGCTCGGTGGTTGAAAACCTTCCAAACGTCGCTTTTTTCAGCAAAGAATAGCAGTAACAGAGATAATTTGAATTATTATTAAAACCGTGAGAATCTGCGCAATATTTAATGTGTTTTCTCCCACATTTTTCAGCCAGTTATTACCATGATGTGGCAAAACCACATAACAAGTCTGGATTCTGGTCTGAAATTATCAATCAAAATGGTTCAATCAGCTTGTGTGGATATTCACACAATCTATTAAAATACTTTGCAACAGTTATCCCAAAAATTGGAATCACAGTAAAAGAATTTTTCAACACTGAAGAGTCATTTTGTGACTGAGTTGCAGGAATGGAATGAGGAATGTACCATGGTTGCAAACTTGTTTCAATGGGCAATTCACCTCTCCTTAATCTGGGCAGAAAGACTCTAAAAGTGCATTATTTATTGTCACAGTATCTGTGGTTGTCGCTAGCGTACGGCCGCACTGAATGGCTCACAGATGTGGTGTGGCAGATGACAAAGAGCCTGAAGTACTTGTGGCTGCCGTAACAGCGGTCACTTTGTCACACCCACACAAGGGATGGAATTTGTTCAAACAAAAGGGGGTTTTCTCTACTCATTCCAACTCCCAGGCTGAGCATTGATACTCACACGCCGTGTGTTCTCCAAACGCTGAGTGCATCAAACCCAGTCCTTCACCCCAAACCTTTCTTCTGTGTTTTCACAGAATACGATCAAAACCCACGTCCATTGGTGACCCAATGGTGATACAACTCCAATTCGGTACCTGTGAATCAGCAGCCAAAACTTTGTTTTCCTTTGCCTTCCAAAAGATGCGAGCCATAAAGCTGTTACAAGTTCTGTTCTGTTTCCAAGAACATAACACCAAAAAGCTTCAAGTGTGAGAAGGAAGGAGCAAAGGGTCTGATTCAGGCACGGTTTGGTGAAGAGAAGGTCCCGTTGCCCATTCAAACTTTAGCGAGCAGCTGGAATGCTGAGTGCTGGGACTAAAGACTGCCGGAATGGACAATCAATTGTGTTTTTATCTTTTGTTGGCATGTTGTCCCGTAGGGATTGTCCTATCTTGTGGATGATCCCCTGTTATCTGTACGAACTTCCACCATCAAGGTATTTCCTTTTTAATTCAATCCGTGTTCTCTGTGGTCTCTGTGACGTGTCTGGAGGGTGTTTGCTCCCGTTCTTGTTCTGGTCTTGTCCTCGGGAGTCTGTGCACGTGGCTCTCCTCGCCTGTCCGTGCTCTTGTTTCCTGTGAGTTGTTGTTCCAATGAAATCGATGGCTGCCTTCACTGTGGCTGCTTTTGTTTCCCATCCTTTCTGATGCTGACAGGGACTGGATGAAGTGTGTTCACTAGAGCTACCCGAGCATTCACATACACACATAAGAGTTCTTTCTTTCAGGATTTCTTGTTCCCTTGGCACAAAAACTCTTTACAGATTCAGCTTTCTGAATTTCCTTCCCCTATACACTGCCCACTCTCACCTGCCACTTTATTTCCACTCCGCTAACAGCACTCAAAGAAATACAGGTACGCTTTGCACCCAACAGCCAACACAGGCAACATCCCACAGTTAAGCTATGTGTCAAGATGGGCACCCAAATACAATACAGCCCTGTGCCCAGGCACCAAGAAAAAGGAGCATGAATCTCTGCCTGGGTATCATAACCATGTGGCATCGCAGACTGAAGCCACTTTTGGAATTCAGATGCAAAATGAAAGGAAATTTTGACACAATCTATTAACCATCTCAGAGTACGTAAGCAAGGCAGCACTGACACTGTCATGCTTTTGTCCCTGCAACAGCTTCTCTTATTCCCCTACTGATGCAGGGCAGCAAAATCCCATGGTTGCAGTGAGTGAAAGGGCAGACATTTCTTCCCAAGACCTGCCCAGTGCGAGTATTTCTAGGCACAGAGGCAGAGAGCATCTCACACAGCCAAGGGGCTGACCCAGACCACCAGCATAGCCAAAGGTGCTGTTGGAAACACACTGCTGTTGGGCCAAAGCCGCCGGTGTCACCGAGAGTAACGGCGCTGCTTTCTCCCCACCAGAACCACGAGTTCATAGACGAGCAGCTGTTCGAGCAGAACTGCATGGAGAGCTCGATGCAGAACTACCCCTCCTCGCGGAGCCCCTCCTTGTCGAGCCACCACGGGCTGACCACCTCCTGCTGCTCCCGCCGGAACAAGAAGACCACTCACCTTCCCAACTCCAGCGTGCCGGCCACGCGCCTGCGCAGCATGCAGGAGCTCAGCACCATCCACATCCAGTGCAGCGAGCAGCCCTCGCTCACTACAAGGTACAGTAAGCGGGCTCCTGCCACCTCCTGCATGCAGACCCCCGGTGCATTACCCACCTGGACGCTACTGCAGGCCCCTTCTCTCCAGCCAGGGAGAGGGGTCTGGTGCTGGGACATCTCTGTGTCCCTTCCAGCAGTGCCCAGCTGTGAGCCACTCGCCAAAGCTGGCACAGGACCACCCCACCGCCCACCTCCCAGACTGCCCAGCACTCCCAAGCCTTTACTGGGAGGAGGCAAAGACAACTGACTGATCAGTGTGAGCCAGCAAGAGCTGTTCGCACTGACGTGGTGCTCCAGGGATGCTGCTCACAGCACTGACCCTCATTGGTCCAAAAGTCTGAATTGTGACTGTGAGTGTCAAGCATCACTGGGAAACAAATAGGGAGGAATTTCACAGTGGTGTCTTAGCAGATCTCGCCTAAGACGTCATTAGTGACACAGGTGAGGGAATGTCTTCATACAAAACTTTGAAATGTTCATTTTATCCATAACTTGCTGAAAAAAAGTAATTTCTTCGCCATCTCTTTCTTGCAGATGTTAAGTTACTTTCTAAATCCTCCTCAGCCCATTAAGCTTCTTGTGCACCAGGCTGGGTTTGCACTTACTGTTCTTCTTATCCCCTCTCTATCACAGGGATCTAGAAACTGAAACAAAGCTGCCTTTAGGGCAGCAAGCAATTTCTCTGTGCCAGGGTGAAGTCAGAAAGGCATTTCAGGGAATGAATTATGAATGGGAAAGCACAAAACAAGTCTCTGGCTATTGCAGTTTCTACATGACAATTTTTTAACCCACCACCTGAAACAGTAATTCAGGGGAATGTCAACTCTCCTGCGTGTTTCAGTGGGTGCTAAATCAGATGCCAGGGATACTTTAAATGTCAGCACTGTTTGTTATTTCATTTGCTTACCAAACTGTGTAAGAATGGAGAGGGGGAAAGCAGCTTAAAGCTGTTCTTCATGTGGAATGCAACGAACTGGGTGTCCTGGTTACCACTGGGAGAACCACCCAGCCCCTAAGGCTGCCCCGCTCTCAGCTCACAATGAGGCAGGGGGAGCAGAATGGGCTCTGCCTGTTTTTGGGGTGCTCCGGCGACCAAAACCCATCCTCGTGGTGAGTCACTGCATGAGAACAGCCACAGCTTCCCTCTGGGAGCTTTACATTTGAAAAGGACAGGCCTTGTGTTTAAAATGATCATGTAGCAGCCTCCTGGAGCTGTGCAGATGCACAGAAACCAACCTATCATTTTCCCTCCGTAATTAATTATAGGATGCAATTGATGCAGATCAAATAAGAATGCTCCCAGCTGTCAGATCCTTGAAACTACTGCAGAGAGACAAAAAGACAGAAAATATCAAGGGACAGTGAATACGAGAGGTATCTGAAATGCAAGGAAGACATCTCTTTCTCAGAAAGAGAAAAGGTGCAGTGCACAGGACAGCGTATTTAGATGTCCTTTTAATAAAGAGGATAATTCTTAATAGAATTATGCGAGAATGAAAAGGAAACAGAACCATTTGCCCTGTGAAAAGGAAATTTAGGATATATCCTAACCAGGGGGAACATTAAACGAAGCTTAGGGTAATTTGGGTAGAAATAAATGATGCCTTGCAGAAACTGAGGGGAACATTTAAGTGGAGTCTTCTGCATATTTCAGTGCCTTAGTTCAGAGGAATAAGATACTGAATAAGAACAACCGCCGTTCCCATGCTTTCAACTGTCTGGTTTCAAAAAAAAACCCACAAAAAGCCAAACACCAAATTTGTTTTCTAGTCGCTCCAGTCTCAACATGAAATCAGATGATGGGCTGAGACCGAACTGCAAAGCCGCCCAGATCACCACAGCCATCATCAGCATCCCCACGCCGCCTGCGCTCACCCCGGAGGGCGAGAGCCGCCCCCCGCCCGGCAGCCCCAGCCACGCCACGAACGTTTCCACCACGAGCAACATCGTCAAGGTCTCGGCCTTGTAGACGTCTGCTGACGGGAGGCTGGAAGAGCAGCAACCCTCTCCCTCCACACCTCCATCTTCCTTTCTTGCTGCAAATCGTGCCTGGATGGACCAACCTGACATTTTGCCATCGAGAGAGCAATGGGGACCCAGTGAGGCGGCTTTCTGCAGACCCGCACTCGCGCTGGGGCCTGGGGGAGGACAAGGAAAGGGAGGAAGAGGCTGGTTCAAAGGGAAAACAGAGAATGCGTTGTGCCGTGGTACAGGGCAAAAGTCACCCGTGGAGGCTGGAGGGAAAGCATCGTCGTGGCAATGAGAGAGTCGATAGAGAAAATGGAAATATAACACTGTGTATCGCAGCACCTTTTTAAAGGTTTTTAATGGATAATATTTATTCATGAGGAAATGACTGAAAAGGTGAAAAACAATGGATTTTGTGAATTTTTTTTTTCTTCATGGAGCAGAACCTTTAAACCAACCAAAATTTCACATTTTTTTTTCTTTTATAGGAAAAGATTTAGACAAAGAAGCCACCTGTCACAGAAACCTATTTCATTCCTCTGTGTGTGTGCATGCGAGTGTGCAGCAGAGCCACAGCAGAGCCACACTGAATTGCCAAGAGCAGAGCACGGTCCCGTGAGGGGCGCACAGTAGGGAACCCAAGCTTTGTCAGCACAGACCTGTGCACACGCACACACACACCCCCGTTCCACCTGGATGGCATTCTTTATTTAGACAATTTTGTATCCGCCTTTTAAGTCAATACAGTGCAATTGCAAACAGTGTGTTTGTCTGCTAATTATTGTCTGTGAAAACATACTTGTGGAAAAAAAAAGAAAAAAAAGACAGGCTTTAGTAGAGTTTTAGTCCCACATGGGTATCTGCTTTCTATTTTTGTTATCACTTACTTGTAAGAGTGTGACTAGACTACCAGTTCTGTATTTTTAAAAAGGATTAAAAAAAGGTAGGACTCTTTTTTAATACTGTACACACAAATGGCAAAGAATGAGAAAGCACTGAACTCAACTGCATCAAGTGTTCATCAGTCTAACAGAGGTTTCTCGTAACGTATGCCCATGCTTTTTTAATTTCTGTTTTCTATATATAAATTTCTTTGCTAGCACTGGACGTACAACCCATTGTAAATAGTAGCCAAATAATGTCTGGATCTATACTTGATAATAATTAATCCCAGAGCCAAATATCTTGCATGGACAGAGAGGTGTTTGGCTTTTTCACAGTCCTGGGGCTCCAGTTGCCTCGTCAGTGGCCTCTGGGCTGCACCGATGCAGGGGCAGGCAGGTCAGCAGTGTCAGCTCTGGGTCCCAGCACAGGATCTACAGCACGCACCCACCTGAGAGCACTGGAGGGGAAAACGCCCGATAAAGTGCGGTACAGACAGCATTTTCTTTTTGCCGTTCTACACTTAGTTTGGGAAAAGTCACGCACTTCTAGCCAACCAAAAAACGAAGTAACGCTGTGCGGTACTGCCGAGGAGCCAACGCTTAAAACTGAGCTGTGGTCAGTCCCAGCGCCTCTTTGAGATCTTTCGATTTCTTGTACGGAAATACATGGCCCTGAAACATAACCGATTCCCCCCATAAGAGTAACTTTTTTCTTCCACTCTGCCTCTCTCCAGTCCCTCTTCACAAGAGGTGTGAGCCATGAAGGGCAGAGTGAGGAACAAAGTCACCCACCTCTTCACTTGCCATACCCTGCCCAATTCCCGTAGTCACACACAAACGCCTCTCCCAGGCCCTGTATGCACCCCCAAAAGGCAATTCCCCAAGAGCTCACGAGGAACCATTCCAACATCCTGTTTCTGAACAGTGATTTTACCAATACGAGTCAAAAACTACTCCAAGCATGTCTGAGGCTGAATCAGCACAGGGATGACTTTTCTTTAACATCTGTCATAGTCTATCCTGGTGTAATATTTATATACACATATACACGCATACACATATAAGTAGATAGACACATACACGTATAGGTAGATAAATAGACTTACATGCTGACGTAAACACAAGAGCTAGCAACCCGCTTTGTTAGCGCTCCCCAGCTGTCAGAGTGGACTCTGCCGCTGACGCAGTAACTCCTTAGAAGCCTACGACTCTAGGAATATTAGGGCTATGGCTAAGCCTTCAGTAGCTGCACCAGCTTATAGTCACTTATTCCAGTGCTGTAATATGTTACCCAAAGCAATGTTTAGTCCTGTTTTAAATGATTAAAACGCTCTGCCTTTACTGCTTCCTGTAGGAGGTTATACTGCAGTTAATCTTACCGGTATTGAGTTTTTCTTGATGTTTTAATTTAATAATCCCTTTGCTTTAACTCCACTATTTGTCATCACCTGCTCCCCATCTGAACACCCTCACCCCTGTAGACCAGAGGCCTTGCTCTCACCACTTACCACCTCCAACCTCATCTTCACTGGTACAGAGGAGGGCCCAACGCCACCACGGCGACAGGGCGCAGTGTCCCTTCCAACGCAGGAGTCAACCATTGCAGAGTCAGGGAACCAACGTGGATGCTCGGTGCTGCCTTTCTTATTCCCAATTTCCTGTGGAGTGGTAAACAAACCACTTCATCTCTCTGCACCCATTTATTTACCTGTAAATAGCAATCATGGCAGCCCTTGCCTAAAGCACTATTGGTGCATTTAATTGCCATCAATCAAAGTGTTTTTGGGGAAAAAAAAAAATCAACATTTTTTAAAGAGGAAAAATCAAAGTAAAGAGGAAAGCCAGTCCCTGGGCTTTCTGGCTGGCTGCTTAGGCAGCCACGGCCTTTGTTCTCTTCTGTGGAAGAGGAATCATAGTTATCCTTGCTCAAATATACCTGGCTTGTCTCTTCTACCATTCACCTGGCAGGTGCTGCCCCATGCAGTCAGTACCTCCGCACAGACTTTTGGAGGATAAAGACAGACAAAATTAAGGAAGTCTCAGCCTAGAGGAACAGGGCTAGAAATATTTAACGGCAGTGTGATCTTCCTGATTTGAAGCAGACCAAGCAATGCTTCCAAAAGCACTAGAAAATGTGCCTGAACAAAACCTCTCTGGATTGCCCAACACAGCCACATCTTCATCATGAGAGCACTGTGTGCTCCTTGAAAGAGCAAAGACGAGGATCCATCACCACTGTACCAGTGGTTGGTAGGGCGTAACATCGCATCCTTCAATGAAACGCAGGGGAGGGAAAGCATTTGCACAGAAGAGCACAGGAACCGCACTACAGACACTTACTGCTTCAATAACGGGAGGCAATTAGTTTTACTAAACTGCAAGGCTTTTTATAATCTTTAAATGGCAATTTAGAAACCATTGCTGAGATAAGGCCAAGGAAGCCCTGAAAAATTCCTCAGCCAGACCTGAAGGATTTGGTGCCCAGTACTGCCCTGTCTGACCAGCATCCCCCTCCCCACTGCCACGCATGCCCAGGGCCATGCACACACATGGATATGGATACAAAAACCAGCACATACCCCTGCATCCTGCTCATTCCTGGGGCGTATGGAAGGGGGTGGCCTCAGGCATGGGCTGCCTCCGGGAGAAGCTCCCAGAAGCCTGGCAGAGGCAAGGGCACAGAACAGCCTGGTCAGCAAGACTGCGCAGCACAGCACCAGTGGTCATTACAAAAGCCTTCCTCCTCCCCGACTCCCTGGGACTTTTTAGTTTTAGAAAAGTTCATTAGAAAAAGATAAAAACAGATTGTCTGAACAAAAAGCAAGTGGAAGGGGATTATTTTTTTCAGTCTTTCATAAAGCAATATTAAAAATATCAAAGGAGCAACACCTTTTTCCAAGGATTTTGTTTCCTTTCCAAAGCCATTTGAGTGAAAAATATTTTCAGCATATTTATTAATAGATTAAATTTACTCTCTTTTACCTGACACCAGGCTGCTAATAGAAGGAATCACACCCAGCTGGCAAAGATCGATGAGATGCCTTTCATATCTAGGCTTTGACTTCCATCTCCTCTAAAGTCCACCTTTTACTTTTTTTCCTTAAAGATCAAGGGCACCCATAAAAAGAGGCACAGATAACACATCTTAGTACAGAAAAATTAAAGAATTAAAACCCCATAATCTATCGTCCAGTAGCACAAGGCCCTTCGCTGCAGTCTATTGTGTTGCTTGCTCTAGATGGGATTTAAATTTCCCCAAGAAAAGGACTCCCAGCTCTACTGCCCTGGAGAGCTTCCTCCCAAGCAGTAGAGCTCAATGGCAAGGATTTTTCCCTGCTGTTCAGCCATAATTCTTTCCTTCTTTTTCCTCCCTTGTTGCCATAATACTCCCTCACACCACGTGAAGTTATTCCACATTACAAGTGAGCTGCCTCCAAGCACAAGAGGAATAGAAAACCTTCTACAGCAAATTCTTACCCCAGAGACTACTTCTGTCTATCAAACAATATTCACTGTTAAAAGTGAACTGGGGAAATGGTAAATTAAGTAACACACATGCATTTAGTGTGAAATAAAGTTAACAGGTAATCCAAAAACATCCTTCCTGACAGTTGCCAGAAACACTAAATTTGAATCAGTGCTACTCATTTAACCTGAAAGAGTTGGTAATGCACTGTACTGCAAACCAGCGCTTGTCATTCCAGTTCAGACAGCTTCGGGGGTGCGCATGGAAATCAGATTAATACCAGCTAAAGAAAGCAAGTAGAGAGGTTGTAAACATGCTGTATCTTACACATACTATAGAGCAAATTCAGTGTATTAAAAATTACATTTGATTTATGGGTTGCAAACATGCCTTTGGTTCTGTAGTATTTTTTCCATAGACTACAGCAAAGTTACAAAGTCAGCGTTCATGGGTGGCTTGTGAACGTCAGCAGCTTTGAACTGAAGATTTTATTCTGCTTTTAAAATTAGGTGAATAATACATCTTTTCTACTTAATTTACCAACCAAATATATCTTGATTTTTCTTTTCTATCACTTATTTTTCTCAACACTTTAGGCAACTGCACTAGATATAGGACTTCAGAGCTCGAGTTTTTAGGCTTCACAGTTAA